CCAGGAGTCAGCCTGCCGTGCCTTGGAAAAGGCGAAAAGTCTGATGGTTTCCTCGCTGGAGTTTTGTTTTGTTTTGTTTTTGTACTCTGTCTAAAAACATCCGTGCCTCAAGCTTTCGGATTTAAAGTCTAAGTGTTTTGGCTGGTGAGCATTCTAGGCCTGGACACCTAGAAATAAGCTGGCAGGCAGGATTAACATGACCATTTGTCTGGGTGCAGGCACTGGACCAGATGACTCCTGAAGCCTACCCAGCTCCCCAGCTCTGTGACCAAAAGTTGGACCACAACATGGTGCCCCCATGGCTGAGGCCACAGCCAGCCGAGCCAGTTATGTTCCTGGCAGGGAAGGGAGTGGGCTCAGATGCAAACTTACCTGGCACAGGTGGGGCCATCTCCAGGCTTCCGGATGACGACAGCAGGGCTAACTGTAATGGCTGGACAGGAGGCAAGCTCACTTTCCTCGTAAGAGCAATCTATATGGGAAGCCTCCTCCGAATCATCCTTCCCAAAGAGCCGGGGGCGGCTCTTGGCCATGAAGACTTGGGGCTCGGTTGGAGGTGGCTTGGAGTTAGAGTTGCCAGCCTGGGGGTCCGGGCAGTTGGCCTCTTGGGGTGGGTCCTCAGACTCCCCCGAGTCTGAGCTATCCCATTTCTTCATCTTTGCCAGAGGCTCTGTGGCCTGAGAGTCAGCCTGCAGGCAGCCACAAAGATAGGGTTTGTTCCCTACCTGCCCTCCTTGCAAAGGCTCCTGTGAGGCTGCTGCCTCCAGGCCCCCATGCAGAGCTGAAGCTTCCAGGGGTGGCGAATAAGCCAGGACTGTACCCACCCCAGAGCCCCAGGGGTGAGCAGGCTCTTCAACAGCCACTGACAATCAGCCCCTGGGAGTGGACAGGCCACCCAGCATGGAGCCAGCAGGCTCGGAGGCACTTGGATGAATTCCTCCCTTTCTCCAGGCCTAAGTTGTCTTATCTGCAGAGTGGGGATACCAGTGTTCTGCTCTGCCTCCCTCCCGAGATCAGAGCCAAAAGAAATAATGGGAGAAGCTGTCCCTGGCTGTGCATTCAGGGCTCAGCCCCCAAGAGCCAGAGCAGTCTGTGTCCGCAGAAACAGTGTGGGGGGACCCTGAGTGACCGGCGGAGAGTGACCGACTGCAGTCACACCTCACTCCACACGGCGGGCCCTCGTGTGCCGTGTTTCCCTGCATGCGGCTGCCTTAGCTCTCCAACCTGGCTGCTGCATTGAGTTTGGAGGGGATTCTTTGTACTTTTTGCCATTTTTGTGAAATTAGTGTATTTCAAGCATTCTGGCCCTGAGCTTTTCAACTTCAAGTCTACATGGTTTGGCGTGGGTGAGCTTCTAGGCCTGAACACCTAGAGAAAAGCTAGCAGCCAGTGGCAGCATACGTAGCTGTAATCTTCTGTTGATACTGTTTTCCACCTCCATTCCCTCCTGACTTCCTCCCCTACTCTTTCTCTCCACCATCTAGGCATTGCTTGATACTCAGTGCTGTCCCACGTGTCACCTCTCCGGGGCCTTTGCTCCCACGGTGCCTCCATCTCGAGCGCTTCTTCCTCCTTCTCCCCTTGCCCAAATCCTACCAGCTGCCCTCCAGTCCATTCCGACTCAGGGCGACCCCTTGTGTGTCAGAATACATAATCTTTTTTAAAAATATATATATTTTTTGCTGTGTTTTCGGTGAAAGTTTACACACTAAATTAGGTTCCTATTTGACAATTTCTATACAGTTTGTTCAGTGACTTTAGTTACATTTTTCACAATGAGTCAACTTTCTCTTTCACTGCATTCTGTTTGTTCCATTTCTGGTACTCTAGTTTCCCTGCTTCCTTATCTTCTCATCTTGGCTTTAGAGCTCCATAGGGCTTTCAATGGCTGATTTTTCAGAAGTAGATCACCAGGCCTTTCTTTCAGGCACCTCTAGGTGGACTTGAACCACCAACCTTTTGGTTAGCAGCCAAGTGCATTAGCTGTTTACACCACCCAGGGACTACTACCCAAATCCTTTGTTGTTGTTCTTGTCATTAATTGCTGTCAAGTTGATTCCAACTCATAGCAACCCCATGTGTGCAGAGTAGAACGGCTCCATAGAGTTTTCAAGGCTGTGACTTTTTGTAAGCAGATTGCCAGGCATGTCTTCCAAGACGTCTCTGGGTGGGTTTGAACCACCAACATTTTATAGCAGTCGAGTGCTTAACTATTTGCACCACCCAGAGAGAGCTGCCCACATCCTCCCACCTCTCAAATGCCAACTCCCCTCAGGGTCCGGCACTGAAGATGCCTCCTCCATGAAGCCCCCCTAATCCCTGTACTGTCCATGCTCCCTTCCCCCTCCGGAGTGCCCCAGCTGGTTGCCCATCCATCCCTCATGGCCCTCTCACTCTGATCCACCATATACTCGAGCAAATTCTACCCATCACTGCTTTACCTCCCCCACGCCCTGTGATCTCCTGCTGGGCAGGAACCTTGCCTGATCGAGCTCTTTATGGGAAAAGCCCAGCTGGTCGCTGTGGGGGAAACGAGAAAGCTCAGATACAGACCTTTCTAATTCCCACTTCTGTAGGAAGTCTAGGGAGATACATGTTCCAGCAGTGGCTGGATTCCAGAAAATAGCCACTGAAGGAGCAGGAGGCTTCTCAAGCCCTGAGTTTTCAGGTGAAAAGTTCAGGCAGTAAAAGCCCAAGGCACATGGGTGGGCCATAACAATCAAACAGTATGGTTTGATGCCCAGATCCATGAAAAAAAAAAGGAAAAAAAAGCGGCAGCCTCGCAGCTTCACATCCTATAAACAGGACAGACAGCTGACTGCCAGTGCGTCTCCCTTCCTGCCTCTTGTTCTGCTTTTGGGAGAGCCTGAGTCTTTCTTTGAAGGCTACATCAGGCTGAAACCCTGCAGCAGGAAGTGCTCCCAGCTGCGGAAAGCCCCACTTTCCACCACTCATGCATTCGTTTGTCCCATCACCCAGTACCCATCAACCGAGTCCTATTGTGCACAGGGGCACAAAGACAGGTCAGACTCCATCTGAGACAGAATCGAAGGACTGCCTGAGGCTGGGAGACCACAGAGGAGCCAGGGTGCTGCAGAAGGCTTCACGGAGGAGGTGGCAGATGAGCTGGGCCTTGAAGGGGGCAGGGTTGGGCCAGGGCAGGAGGAGAGGGTAGGACTCCCCAGAGTAGCTGATGAAGAGCAAGGAGTGGGACTTCCAGAGACAGGTGGGGCCTGGCGGGGTTAGAACTAGATGGCTGTCGGCCTCGAATGCCAAGGAACAGAATGTGGACATTGTTGCATGGATGGCAGGCGCCACAGGAAGCTTCAGAAGCATGGAGATCATTAGTCTGTGCTTTCAGAAGAGAACTTCCTGCCAAGGACTGTTCACAGTATGGGGAACCTGTGGCATTTATAAGGCACGGGAGGCTAATGAGAATAAAAATAATTGATGTTGTTGAGCATTTGCTATGTACAGGGCTCTGTTCCAAGCACTTTGCCTGTTTTCACTCATTTAATTCTCACAATATCCCTAAGAGGTAGATTTTTTTTTACAGATGAGGAAGCTAGGGCACAGAGTGGTAAAGTTACTTGCCCGAGGTCACAGAGTAAGAGATGGATTTGAGCCCAGGGCATTTCAGTGCTCTACCACCTCTCTGGAAGACTCAGAGTTCTTTCTCTGCCATTAAGCTCAGCCCCAAGCCCCGCAGCAGGGCCTGGGGGCTGGTCAGACCAGGCACTCCCACCCCTGGGGCCAGACAGGTGGGGACTCTGCCCTCCCAACCGGGGGCACCCTCCTGCTCAAAAAGCATCCCAAAAAGCTCAAAACCCCAAAATGAAATACAAATGAGACCCAGGCCATACCCCATGCCTGGCATCCCTCTGGAATGCCTGTGGTCTCTGGCTGTTGGCTACAACTGGCTGTAAAACCACACACAAACTTACTCCCTGACTAGCAGCTCTTAAGAGCCCAACGAGAGAGCACCTGCTGGCAGAAGGCTCCAGGAACCTTTCAGTTTTGTTCTTTTTTAGCAACGTTGCCTCTTCCTCTGATGAGTCCAGGTCTAACCAGGCCACATGGTACTGTCATTCATTCAATCAGCAAACACTGAGTGTACTACGCATCCCGCCCCTGCCTCCCTACTGGAAACCATGCTTCTCCTGAGGGCAGAGGGCAGGACAGGGCCTCAGAGACCATTTGCTCCAGGCTAGGAGGGTGGACAGGAACCGAAGAGACTGTCACTGCCAGGCCTGGGGTGTACCTGGCATGTGATCCCCGCAGCAATGCCCCTGTCCCAGCAGCACATTCTGCAGTGATGGGGCACTTCCAACAATGATTTCGGCAGACACACGTTGGTTGTCTGATGGAGGTAGTGGTTCTGGTTTACACAAGATTCACAGACTTATCAATCTGGACTAAAAGGGGGTCCTGCCAAAAAAGATCCTGCCCAACAAAAGCCTGCTTTGATCTCTGGGTCTTTATCAACTCCAGAGCCAGGAGAGACAGTGCCCACCATCCTGGAGAAGGTTCCCTCCTTCTCTCCCCAACCCAGGGGAGACACCCTGGGGTGTGGCTCTCCCGCTTCCCTTTCTGCCCAAAGCACCCATCGCTTCCAGCCTCCCTCTGGCTGCCAGTGGCTTTCTGAGATGCTGGTTCAGGACTCAGCCTGACCATTCTCATCCCATCATCCTACCTAAGCATCTCCTACAGAGGGGCCAAGAGCTGTAGGCTTCCCAAACCATGTATGAAAGACCAGAGGGGCTCAGCCAAGAACAAAGAGAGAGTGGAGCCTGGACAAGAACCCGGGCTCCTGCCTCTCAGCCTAACACTCCTTCCCTCTGCGGAGAGAACAACACACTGAGAACCTGCAGCCACAAACTACAGCAGCAGCAACAGCCGCAGCCTCTTCCCCCTGAATGGCTCTGGTGTGAGAGCAAACAAAAAACACTCCTAAGAACAACTCCCGCTCTCACTTACTGAATGCTTACGATTAACCAGGCTAAGGGCACCACAACAGTTACTTTCTTTAAGCCTCACGACGCCCTTTGAGGCAGCCACTGTTACTATTCCCAGTTTCCAGATGGAATAACTGAGGCAATGAGAGGTTAGTTGAACTGCCCATGGTCACACAGCTAGAAAGTGGTAGGGCTGGGTTTGAACCCAGGCAGCCTAACCCCAAGGTCCAGCTTTTGTCCGGTCCCTATGCCATTCTAACCGCTAAGACCTGTGCCGGCCGCCAAGCAATAAAAGGGACTCACCAGCTAGCTGCAGGCACACCCCAGACCTGGCTGGCAGTGGGGGCTGGCAGGCAGTTGCCACTTGCTGAGAGAGCTGGGCTGGTTTGGGGAGAGGAGCTGCCTCCTCTGCCTCTTCAAGGGTCCATGGCCCCTCCCCGGGTGGAGGGCCGCTCTGCTCCAGCAGGGATGGGCTGTGTGCACTCTCTGGCACTCAAGGAAAACGTTTCCCGTGATGGCAGCTGCTCTTGTTGCCTCGGCTCCGATTCCCAGAGGATCCCAAAGCTTTTCTCATCATTTTTGCTCTTTTTCAGAAACCACTTAGCCACTGCCCCTGCTCCAACCACGCCAGGGCCGTCATGCACTTACCCAGAGCCACACGCAGCCCGAACCAGCCAGAGCCATGACCTCAATTCAGGGCTCCCAGACGCATCGCGCCTGCAAACCGAGGTCTGGGGAACAGCTCAGCAAACACACGTGCACAGCCAGAGATGTAAAAACCAATGCCTTGTAGCTGCTTCACTTTCAGAATGTAGAAGGAATAGAAACAATCATGTCAGCCGTCACGCAGCCCTGGCCCGGCATTTAGGGACCTGGTTTTGAGTGCTGGCTTTGCCACCAACTCTATGTGACCTGGGACCTTGAACCAGTCCCTGCCTCTCTTGGGCATCTGGTTCCCTGTGTGCCCAAAATGGGGCGAGGACTGAATGGGGGGGGAAAGGAGGCTGCCAGGACCCAGCCTTTCTTAGCTGGGGTTCCTCACCTGAACCACAGAACACAGAAAACCACTTCAGTGCCTATTTCCTCAATCCTCCTAGTGCTGTCCTACACGCACAGGAGAGAATTTACCTCATCACACACAGTAGGTGAAGAAAGCAACAAGCTTAATTCTCTCCCAGAACCTGGCTGAGAAAAGTTCAAGGTCTTTCTGGGTGCACATACAGGCTGCAGCCCCAAATACCCGGCAGAATCCATCCTAACAGATGGCTAATAAAAAAACAAACTGTTGCTGTCAAGTCGACTCCGACTCACAGCCGCCCGCGTGTGTGTCAAAGTACAACTGTGCTCCGTAGGGTTTTTAGTGGCTGATTTTTCAGAAGTAGATCTCCAGGCCTTTCTTCAGAGGCACCTCTGGGTATACTCAAACCTCCAACCTTTCAGTTAGCAGCTGAGTGCATTATCTATTTGCACCACCCAGAGACTCCAGCAGCTGGCTAATGCAAAAACTGAAATGAGTAGCCATGTGCCAGAAACGCCTGCAGGAACCTTGCCTGGGCCAACTCACAAGCTCTGATCCCTGAGCTGAGGCCAGCAACTCTTAAAGTGCAGACACTCTCCTCAATTCTACTGGATAGTTTACTGTTTACCAGCAGTTTTCACAGACCCTCTCCCCCAGCTCTCACAAAACCCTGGGTAGAGATTGCTATATCCACTTTACAGATGAGAAAACTGACACAGACAGATTAGATGGATTGCCCAGGTCACACTGCTGGTCTGGGCAGGGAAACTGGGCCCACTCCATGATGCCATATCATGCCCCCTGCCTAGACACATTTTTATGATACATGTGCCTTTTTAGTTTCAATTAATATGAGCCTTAGAATTGATTCTTAATCACTATCTAACAATCTGTAATATATAAAAGACTCACCAGCAACCACCCTCAACCCACAAGTCCTCAGGGTCATTATTCCTTCTAGCTACGTGACCAGAGGTGCCTCTGGGAACACCTGTTGGTCTCCTCAGGAATGGGGCCCTGTGTCAAGTTCAGGCCCCTTGCTCACACCCTGGCTGGGCCAGGCCCAGGGCCCCGGTGAGGGCAGCCCTCAGGCGCAGGTGGGAGACATCCTAAGGAAGGCCTCGAGAGAACCAGACAGCCCAGGAGCAACCTCCAGGGAAGGGGAGGGTAACACTTCCCCTCCAAAACTATCTCCTTTGCCTCCACCATGGTTTCTGCCTCCATTGAAAACAACACACATCACTAAATATGTCCCACTCATTCACAGAGCCACTGGGTGCTACCAGTATCTCTCTGAGTCTGCACAATAGCAACACCTGGGGGCAAATTCTGGCCCTTCTCTTCCCCGACCTTCTTGTCTCCTTGACTACATCGTCTTGTCATGCCTCTCCACTAGACACAGGTGCTCCCCAGGACTCTCTCTTAAGCCCTATCCCTTCTACCCCATACCCCCTTCCTTGACACCTTTGCCCCTCCCAAGACCATCCCACATTTCTAAGCCAGCAACTTCTTCATCCAGGTCTCCATCCCTGCCTCCCCTGCCTCGCAGGCAGAAGACCCACAAACTCCTTCCCCTCAACATGTCCCACAGTGGACTCCTCTTCCCTCCGCATCCAGCTCCCCCTCAGCATCCTCTGCCTGTAAAGGCACCAACTTTCTTCTGGTCCCCAAGTCTGTGATCTGCAACCTCTGCTTCTCTGCCTTACTGTCTGGGCCACACTTCTGTGGCTCACGTTTATCCACTGCATCAGTGAAGGCCCCTTCTCCTTACCTGAAGGACCAGAAGCACCTCCCTTCCCTGGTCCAGCATCCCCCTACCCTGTCTCCTGCCAGTCAGCAGTCCTAGGATGTCACCCTGATGGTAGTCTCCACTGGCAAAGGAGACCCCACCTGGGGGCCTGGCACTCTGAGCCCACAACCCCAGTCTCTCCCCTGTGACCCACCCTCTTCCAGCACCCAGGCATACCCACTTCCCAGCCACACTAACCTGTGCTGCCTCCAGGCTAGTCCCCTGCCCTCCTTCTGCCCAACGTGCTTGCACTTCCCATCCCATTTGAATCCATCTTCAAGGCCCAGATGGCAAGACCTGGGTGCTGAGTTTCTGTCATTCAAATCCCACCTCTTCCAAAAAGCCTCCCCCTCAAGGAGCCCAGACTAAAGCGCTCACCTCCTACAGATATTTCAACCTATACACTTCCTATGGCAAGTACTTATGATAATGATGACAACCACAGTAATAGTAGCTAATGTTTATTGAGCACTTACAATGTTCCAGGTTCTGAGACAAGCACCTTCATACGCACTATCTCATCAGATCCTCACAAAATTTCCTGAGGTAAGTACAGTTTTGTCTCCATTTTACAGATAAGGAAATGAAGTAGCGACAGGCTATGTAACCTGCCCAAGGGCAGTAACAACTATACTAACCTTGTCTGGCGTTCCCTAAATCTTGTACTGAGATTTAACTTCCGTGATTTTTGTGTCTTGCTTTGCACATTTCAAATGGCTCCATAGCGAGATAGGGCCCTCCATTCTCCTTCTCTAAACCTAGCACCATGCTGTGCCCAAAGTTGCTATTAGTTGCCATTGACCCATGGCGACCT